GTGGGATCCGAACCCTCAGCGGGAGCGCCACCGCACTTCTCAAGCGGCGCACTATACCAGTGTGCCACCGGGCCGGCCCGGAGTATGAATAATTTAAATGTTTGATTTGCAGATTCTCGGAATGGGTTCCAAACGTTTGCTGACGCTTACTCACAGGGCCCAGGTGAAGCGCTTTACTCAAGACTTACTGAAGCTCCTCAAATCCCAGGCCAGCAAGCAGGTTATTGCAAGAGAGTTCTCACAGGCCTATCATTGGTGAGTCGAGAAGAAAAAAAAGAAAGTAAATATTTTAAAATACTTTTTCTTCCCCCAAATATTAAACAGTTGTCTAACTTTTCTATGAAGCATACTTTTGGAAAACTTGTAGTTTATTTTAGCAATGATATTACTCATTCTTCCCCCATTTCCATTGTTAAAATCTAGGTGTTTCTCAAAGGACTGGGATGTCACCAAATATGGTGTTTGTGAGTTAATTGATATTGTGTCAGAGATTCCAGACACAACCATCTGCTTGTCCCAACAAAATAATGAAATGGTGATTTGTATCCCCAAAAGAGGTATGTGACTTACTTTTGCTGGGAAAATGCTATCTCAGTTGTTATTTTAAAATGGAGGGTAACCCTTGGCTTCTGCGTTCTAAAAGCCCTGTAGGTAACCCCCAGCTGATCCAGTTCAGTAGAGAAGTGATCGACTTGTTGAAGAGCCAGCCATCTTGTGTCATACCAATTAGTAATTTCATCCCATCCTATCACCATCATTTTGCAAAGCAGTGCCGAGTATCAGACTACGGATATTCCAAGCTGATTGAATTATTAGAAGCAGTGCCTCATGTGTTGCAGGTAAGGAATGCTAAGGGATTGTTTGTTTAAAGATAGGAATATTCCTCCATGGCTTTGGCTGCTCAGCCAAAGAAACAGGACAGTAGTAACCTAATTCCTAAGAAATCAGTTCTGAACAAAACATCCTGTAGAGGCTTTCTTCATATTGTAGGGAACCTAGACAAGGTGGCTTCTCAATTTTTCAGAAGGCCTCAAGTTTCCAACTTAAAGGAGCTCGTTAGAGGGCTGAGGAGTATTTTACCTCTAATCTCTATAGACTGACCTTTTTCCATCTAGCATCATTCTCTCCAGAATTGTTCATTGTTATAAGGGTTCTGCCTGAACATCCACATGCTTGTATGTTGGTGCCTACATGAGAGTCAAGGGTTTAACCTCTCTTATGAATGAGTTGGAGATGAGTTACTGGGCTGGAGCATAGCAGTGGATCCTATGAAGGCTTTGTCTACCAACTTAGGGTGTTATAATAGCTGCCTACTTGTAAAAATGGCTTGAAAAACTTTAGCTGTCTTTTAGAGACCAAGTTAGTTGTCTGGACTGATAATACACTTTTCATTTCTGTACTCACGACTATTTGGGAGAGGGTGTGCAGGGCCAAAAAAGGGTCCCAGGCAGTTGGGCATCTGTTCCTTTTGACGATCTACATTTTGTTGATTTACAAAATGTAGGTGTTCAAATTGCAGGTATCATATGTAGAGGGAGTTATTCTCTGAGGGCAGTAACAGAAGAGAGCCAGCAAGAAAGTCAGTATCTGTTGAGGTCTTGGAGTATGAATAATTTATTTATTTATTTATTTATTTATTTATTTANGGGCCATTGGAGTAGCAGGGTAGAGAGTTCTCATGGTCTTCTGCACATTTGGAGACTCCCTCTGGAGGGAAGTCAGCTCTGAAGATAAGGCAGTTATTTGCCTACAGGTGATGGTGAAAGACGTAGGAGCAGATAAGATCAGAGGAGAAACAGAGAAGGACGGAATGGATGGAATCCCACCAGGCCAGGGAAGTGGGCAAGAACTCAGAGGTGAGGGTGTTATACAACAATGTGTGGAAAGAGCACATCAGGAGTGTGGGGAGTCACGGGGACTGAGGAAATGGAGGGAGGTTTGGGGATGAGGTGGAGACTGTTGTGACACTAGAGCCATTGCCACAGAGTCCTGTGGGTACAACACAGGATGGAAGGGACTGAGAGACTGGGGCAAAGCAGCAGAAGCAGCTCCTGAGAGCCCAGCTGTCTGCCTTATAGGGGAGGCAGGAGAGCACAAGGCTGAGATGAGGGCACAAGGGAGAATGTACACAGTGCAGGGACAGCACGGAGACTGGTTTTGGTAGAGGGGAGTCTGAGCATGCATGTAGGGCATTGAGATGGAACCACTGGGCAGACAGTAAGATGAGCAGGTAATATTTGTTGAGCACTTACTATAAGCCAACATCCTGTCCATACTTAATCACATTTATTCCTCACATCAACCCTATAAGATAGATGATATCATCATCCCGTTTTACAGATGGAAAAACTGAGGACCAGATTTGTTGTGTAAGTTGACTAAAGTCACACAGGTTGAAGTTGAGTCAGGATGTGAACTTACATCTGTCTGCCTCCAGAGCCTGCTCTGAGTGTGAAAACTACCAATCAGTGGGATGAATGAGGAAGTCTATCTCCGAGGATGTATGGGTCATGCAGTTGAGGCACAGGGGCGGTGAGACGGTGACTGGAAAGGAGTACACTTCTGAGGGTGGAGAGCAGGGATGGTGACAGGTCATGCAGAGGGATTTGGAAGTGGGGGAGATCCAAGTTGAGAGAGGTCATATCAGATAGCTGTCCATCTCAGGAAACTAGGTCATTTATAGAAACTGGGCAAGGGTGTGGGGTGGCTTCCAAATGATATAATCATTGTAATCGGCAGTGGGCCAGAGGTGACTCACAGCAGGTACTAAGCACCACTGGTTTGGTAGTGAATGAATTTGTGGTAGAATTATTCTAATTTTACTTTTGAAGAGATGGACGAATTGTTCTTGGTTATAGCCCTTCATTTAAACAGGACAGGCATTTCTGTATAATCCAAGGAAAACATTCTAAGTCAGCATCTCTCTCTCTCTCTCCTCTTGCTTTTAGGTTTGGACACAAGCTGAATGTGTCAGATCTATATAAATTAACAGACACGGTCACAATCCGTGAACAAGGAAATGGACGTCTGGTGCGTCTCTTACCCAGCAGTCAAGCCCGCCAGAGCCCCTTGGGGTCTTCCCAGTCACATGATGGCTCCTCCACAAATTGCAGCCCAATTATATTTGAAGAGTTAGAATATCACGAGCCTGTCTGCAGACAGCATTGTTCTGATAAGGATTTCAGGTATGCCACCTGTTTTCCTTTAGCAATAACCCTTTTGTGTAAGATCCTGGAACAGCTGTTAGAATTACCTTGTGAACGTTTTAGGCCCCTGAGGAATGTCAGCTGACTGTTTCATTCTCTTTTTTGCAGTGAGCACGAATTTGATCCAGACTCTTACAAGATTCCTTTTGTGATTCTCTCTTTGAAGACATTTGCGCCCCAGGTTCACAGTCTTCTCCAGACCCATGAGGGCACTGTGCCTTTATTAAGGTGAACCATATCAAAGCCGCTTGAAATGTAATGCCTTAGTTCCCCTTTTTATAGAAAGTCTTCCCTCTCTGCCCACATCTCTACCTAAACAAGTATTGTGGAATTCTTCCTAATGTTTTAACGTTGCAGTGAAAGTATATCTGAAATAGCATCCATTCAATCAATATTTCAACAAGGATGTTTGTGCTAAATTTTAAAAACATAAACATGAATAGAACAGTTTCTTTTCCACAAAGAAAAGATATAAGTGCTATAATAGAAATCTGGACGAGTGCTACAAGAGTGCACACAACCTCAAAGACTTGTAAATTTCAAGACCTGAGAGAGAGAAAAATAACCACTCTGTGGGCCATGATGGTAGACAGTGCAAAGGCCAACACAGGAATAAGTGGCCTTAATTCCCCTGATACGTTAAAGCAGATGAGTAACTGACTTGGAATCCAGCCTTATTTTTAACAACATCTGGAAAACTGCCCAGGAATTTCTAGTACCATCAGAACATCTCAAAGAGACCAATGCCATGGTGATTGCCTTTCTGGGAGCTTAATTTTAACTTTCAAACCTAGATTGTGGGCATTGAAGCAGAAATTATTAACAGATACATTAAAGCCTTCTGTTTAGCAGGTGCTTTGCTTTTCCATTACTTTAATTTAACCTTTTTCCCCCCCGCACTTCAGCTTTCCAGATTGTTATGCTGCAGAGTTTGGTGATCTAGAAGTAGTGGAGGAAAACCAAGGGGGTGTTCCCTTAGAACACATCATCACCTGCGTTCCAGGTGTAAACATTGCCACTGCTCAGAATGGCATCAAGGTAGTTAAATGGATTCACAACAAGCCCCCACCTCCCAACACAGGTAGGTGTCAGGTGTTTAGTCCTCCTTAGCTCCTTCCTGTCTACTGTGAGACTCAGAGGAGACTGTTGGCTTTCATCTTAAACAGTAGCACTATTTGTCAAGTGTGAAAGGACCATGGCTGTCTCCTTTGATCTTTTAAAAACTCTGTGTAAAATGCTGAGGGTTTGGCAGAACTAGACTTTTTGAAAGTACCAGCATGATTTATGTAAAAAACTTAAAACCCAAGTTTCACAGTTACAAATCTCTTTAGCTATCTAATTTTGTGATGCTTTTGGCTTGTCAGTTGACTAGCCTTTTAAAAACAGTTTCAAGAATTTAAAGGGAATACCTCAATGCAGATTCATTTTGGTCAACGTTTCTGACTTTGATAAATGTGAAAATAAATTTAACTTTAAATGTAAAGGACTGGAGAATTTGGACCTAGATTTGGGTGTTTCTGAGTTATGGGCATGCCTCAGTTTGCAGGTGTTTAATGCTGCTACCTCTGAACAGCACTTTAAATTGTTGCCTCCTGTACGAGGGCACTTCAAAAAGTTTGTGGAAAAATAGAATGAAAAGGTAATATGAGGGGCCGGCCCGGTGGCGCACTGCTATAGTGCGCTGCTTGGGAAGCGCGGTGGCGCTCC